AGTGAGCCGCCAGAGCGAACCCCCCCCCTCCCCCAGGGAGGCTCAACGGCGCCACTGTCAAGCCCGCCAAACAACCACCGAAAGGCCGAGACACCGAAATAAAAAAATCGATCAACCGAAGGCTGACTGGCACGGCACGTCATGTCCATTTACCGCATTTACCGCGTTGACAATGGCCAGCCGATCTAGCTCTCCAGAAGGTCAGCAGCTCAATAAATATGTTCAGGTAAGTCCTTCCTTTTTCTTCCTTGAGTATATATGCCAGTTCGTTTTGTTTACATACACGAGACGTATTTTCGAATACTCCTTTTCTGGATTCTTCTGGCACAACGAGTATTTTTAGGTTAAATAACATGACTCTCAGTAACATTTGCAATTTGATTTCTCAACTGCGGCCTCACATGAATGAAGATTTATTCTAATAGAACTTATAATAAACGTATTTGTTTCACCGATCTAGTAGAGGAACAATTAAGCTCCGCTTTGCCCAGGAGCTCACAACGTAAACTTACAATGGCAACCTAAGCTGAATACTTAATACTATGTGCCTTTACACTAAGAGAGCTCAAGATGACTAGCTTGTATCAGAACCAGAAAACAAAGCAAACATATTGAAAGCCTATTAAAGTGGCTTGTGACTGCGAATTAATTCCAGAACTAAGAACTAGAGTTAGGTCCTTATCGTCCAGGTTTAACATTTTACGTATACTAGTAAAATATACACCCTGCGTTGACGTTATAATTAGCTTCAACAAACCTTTTCTAGTTGAAAATTTGCAAATTCCGTGAGCATACTTGACGGACTGAGTAGATGAACCATCGGTAGGAAAGCAGTGGCGTGGAGGGTTGAGAGGACACTCCCTAAAGTCACCATGCGAAAGTAAATTGCCCTCAGAATTTTGGTTTCGGTCATGTTCTCAAACACAAGAGGTTCTGGCCCGCTGCCCTAGCCTTTTCGATTTATCCTGACAGCAACGGCCTCCCCCGTTGCTATAACTGCAGCAAAATACTGAATACTTTCTGTTCTTTTCGAACTGAATTTACCTCCACACGGAGGTTTTTGAACTTTTGTTATCATTTAGGAATTTTGAAATGGCTCGCCATGTTAGTCGCTCTTTCTTTCAGTTTTTGGTGGCACAAGCTTTACCTTACCATGACAAGTTTTGGCCTTTTTCACTTTCATAAGAGTTTCCTGGGAATATAAATCTAAAGTAATTTATAAGGTCTATTTGTCTTTGAAATAGAATAGGTTTAAGGTTCACAAGAGCCAGAAAGTCAAGTGCATAATACTATTTATACACAATCGGAAAACACACTGGTAGGAAGGAAATTTAGTCTGTTTACTGGTAAGTGTACAAACAAATACTACTCAAAAGGGGTTCATTCTGGTGATGCTTCTCCCAGCTATCAGCCGAGCAAGGAAAACGCAGAAAGAGTTGGAAGTGTAAAATATACGAATAATATTCAGTTGGGAACTATTCCCTACGCTCGACTCTTGAGTACTGAACTGAATGGGACATTGCGGAAGACGTGAATACTCGCTCTTCGGTATGGGAGAAGGTAGTTTGCTGTTGTTGGATTGAAATCGA